TTTTCAGGATAATATGCAAATAATAATGCTTCCGCCTTCTAAATTTCCCAGAGAGTGCTGTGAAGAACTATGGGCTGGTATATAAACCGTTCCTCATATGCTTTATTGTCCAGTCCCCTAATCATCTTTGTTGCTCTTCCCTGCACTCTTTCTAGGGTCTCCACATCTTTTCTACATCGTGGTGACCAAAACTGAATGCAGTATTCCAAGTGTGGCTTTACCAAGGCCTTAGAGTAGATACAATTGGACTTTCCATAAATTGCAATAGCATTTAGGTTTATATACCAGCCCATAGTTCTTCACAGCACTCTCTGGGAAATTTAGAAGGCGGAAGCATTATTATTTGCATATTATCCTGAAAAATCTGGGTCCTCCTTTTACCAACCTCAGAAGGATGGAAGCAGGGGTGGGATTCAGCCCATTCTCACCACTTCAGAGGAACCAAGTTGTTAACTTTCTAAGCAGTTCAGAGAACCGATTGTTGGAAGAAATCATTAGGGCAGAGAATCGGTTGTTAAATTATATGAATCCCACCACTGGATGGAAGGCTGAGTTAACATCAAGACCCATCAGGATCAAACTCCAGGCTGTGGGGAGAGTTTGCCTGCAATACTGCACTTCAGCCACGGCGCCACCTCGGCTTTTAATCTCAGTTCTTTCCTTTTGATTTGCATGGCTCAGTTTCCACATCAGACCTGCTGAATGCGCCTTTATCTCTGCTTTCTTTCAGGTAAACAATTACAGTTTAGAAGAAGTCACCCACGAAGAAGCAGTAGCAATATTGAAGAACACATCGGATGTAGTCTATTTAAAAGTGGGGAAACCAACCACCATCTATATGACCGACCCTTATGGCCCTCCAGATATTACTCATCGTAAGTTATGATATACAAGTTTCTTTTTTTTCTCAGATGTTGTTGTCAAATTCTAAGTTTTTGGATGACATTTTAAGGAAGAAGTACCAGAGATTCCGAATAGATGATTCTCACTCAAAGCACCTTTAGTGAGGAATGAATGGGGAGAGGGGAAGATAAGAAACTATGTGACTGAAACCATAATTCTGGAGGAGGGAACGAGGTTAATCTAACCAAGGTGTAACATCACTTAATTGGTCCGGAACTCATATTATTGTAGCAGAAGAGCAAGCAGAGCTAAGCAAGTCATCAGTCTAGAGTGGTTATGTTTCCACAACTGCCTTAAGTCTAACCTCTCTTGGATTCCATTGACATCTGGCACTAATTTAGTACTGTATGAGAGGTCCTTGGTGCTCTCTGAGCTTCGTCGTTTTCTTGCAGACATTTCATTACCCAACTAGATAACATTATCAGTGTTAGTAACAGCCTGATCAAGAAACTACCAAGAATACTCCCACCGACAGCGTGAACCGCTTGTATATAAACAGAAAGCAAACCCCATTCCCTTCTAGCACTGATGATGTTACCTAGTTGGGTAATGAAATGTCTGCAAGAAAACGATGAAGCTCAGAGAGCATCAAGGACACACAGTCCTCCTCCTTCTTCTCCTCCTCCTCGTCCTCCTCCCCCATTCCCTTCTAGCACTGATGTTATCTAGTTGAGTGATGACATGTCTGCAACAAAACAACGAAGCTCAGAGAGCACGAAGGATGCAAAATCCTTCTCTCCTTCTAGCACTGATGATGTTACGTAGTTGGGTAATGAAACGTCTCCAAGAAAATGTCTGAGTAGATAAAGAACGAATATGGTTGTAAATTCTCATTGTTATCGCACAAGGTATTTGTTTTAGACGACACACTGTTTAATGGAAGATGGATTGTTTGTATTAAAATTATATATATAATTTAATTCCAGAAAGTAGGCAATCCCAGTGCCTTTGGACCAATATCCTTTGAAGTTGTTTGCTTTCGATAGCCTCTTGGATCAAGTTATTTGTTTCCACACTGAGAGAATAATGTTTAAGTGTATTCAATATTCTTCTTTCTAGACATTTTTAGGTTTCTATGCAATGGTAAAGATTTTATAGCTGCTTAATAGCATATTTTTGTGGAAAATTAGATCCAATAAGTCAGAGCATATTTTTATGTACATTCTTGATACCTGCAGTGTGTATCCGAGCCGAGGTGGCGCAGTGGGTAGAATGCAGTACTGCAGGCCACTTCAGCTGACTGCTAGTTCAGCAGTTCAGCGGT